TAGTATATATGTATGTATTTCACAATTTTTTTTCTTCAAAATTATGTGGCAATGCGAACTCGCAATATATGTAAGCTCATGTAGGTTATCGACAACTTGTTAACCAAGGTTTAGAATTGGTTGAATGAAAGAAACCATTTCGGAATGAAATTTAAAATAAATTCCACTTTTTGCACTCTATTAATTTCATATTTTATGTAAGTAAATATGCATATGTACGTATACATGATTACTATATTTAGCTATGTATTGCTAATTAATTTGCAAATTCGGAACCTGTATTATGTATTGCCAAAATGTTCGGTGAGTAATGGGAAGTAAAAGCTCCCGTGCTTCGGATTATAAATACTCAATTTGGCAAATTTTCTGGCATAGTTTGTTAATTTTGTGGACACGGCCACCATGCAATTATCTATGCTCCTCGGTTATTTCACTAAAAATATGTAATAATTATTTTTAATGAAATGTTTTACATCATTTTGTAGCCATTTTGTATAAATTTAAAAGCAGTTATTTTCTCGAAAAATATGCAATCTCATGATGACGGTATTGGGCCGTGCATGAAACTGTGACACTCGGTTTGCCGAAAATTTTACAATTTTTCTGTAAAAGGGCTTATAGCTACATATGAATGTAGTTATGTATGTACCTTCTGAGGAAACAATTACCAATTTTTGACAAGTATGTAAATATGCCTCGCATTTAAGGGAGATTTCTAAGCTAAGGTGCTGAAATTTTATATATGTATGTGCAGTCATTATACGGTAAAAATTCACCAAAAATCTATCACATGATTTATGCAACGTCCGGAGCGGCTAATTAACTGGTCCCAATTAAATACATACATATGTCATTGTCATTAGCATAAATTAAACAACTATTCTCGTATTTTAGTAAGTCAATTTTAGGGATACCTTATCCCTAAAAATGAATTAGCTCCTGTATTTATCAAATAATGTCATACATATACGTGCTACATACATAAACCAAATTTGAGACCATGTTATGCATAATAAGTACGAATTATTATAAAACCCATTACTCGCCACTCTAGAATAAGTATAATTATGTAAGTGTAGTTAGAGCCGTCAGTCTACACTCTACACAACGCGAATTCCGTCGCGTCGATTTAATGAAATTAATTAGTAAGGATGGATAAGGTGACAGAAAGTGGCAGCGGAAGTTGGGGAATATAGGGAGACATTAGCATTGTGGGATATTGTGGGAGAAGAATAACATGGGCAAGCTACAATTTTGCTGAATTTCTGAAGGGACAACGTCCCCCTGTCCACCCTCTTCCGCCGTCAATGGAGACAGACTGGTTTGGCCGGTACCGGTAAACTGCATGCGCTGATGTGCACAGTAGTGCACACCAATAAATTCTGCACACCCTCAACCGCTGGTGAACAACTATTCTCATAAAACATAAAAATTAGAATCAATGCATGACTTGCAAGAAAACTGGATGAATAGATGAAACAATTTGTCAAATAAATTGAATTTTATTTCGGTAATTTTTTGCAATTGTGGAAAGGATACCGGTTGTTGAAATACATAAATTTCATTAAGACATGATAAAATAATTAAGAAGTGAGCTACATACATACATATGTCCAACGAATCGTACATTCTCAGCATTTTCATAATTTTATTTTGCTACCACAGGATTTTGCCACTTTGTAGGCACGCCACTAAAGCATCATTAACACAAAATGCGATGCACGGAAGTATTGTACAGTCGGCCACATAAATTCCAGAATCAACTCGAGTATTTCCTTTCTTAAACGTGAGACAAGAACGACGCGTAAAGTTTTTCTGCTCCTCCCCCAGAAATGACAGGTCAACGCCTTCCGTGTCCTCCTTCCACACGAATTGAGTATCGTTCCCAATGTCAATCCCGTCAACCCAGTATGCTTTCAAGTAATATAAATATTTTAAATAAATTGGCTCTCCAATAGAAATGTACCGCTAAATACCTGTAACCACCTCCCCACCGTGTTAGTGTGATACCCAAAATCCGCATTTTTAAAAGTCAATCACCTATAGGGTCGACCCATTTATCAAATTAAATGTGTTAATGAGTAGATGATTTCTGCATAACAAAATTTCCAACGTCTACACCCTCAAACTGAGAAACCAAAATATGAGCATGAGCACAAAATGAGAAAAAGTGCGTTTTTTTGTGCATCTTTTGATTTTTCCTGACAAATTTTGAGTTTGAACATTGCGATTTTTTTTATGCAGAAATGCTCTACAATCCCCAAATTCCCCACTACCACTTCCCATAACGGCTAGTATATATTATCACCCAGTGGTAATTAAGAATAACGGCAAGATAATGAGATCAAGTTCCTTCATTGTTTGACCCTTTTGCCAAAAACACTAATGTATCAAGAATTGAAGACCAGTTTGTTCCAGGTACCAAACAATATCTGTATGGGTACCTTTATAATAACAATTTACATAATATTTGCGTACAATTTTTGTTTTGTTGATACATTGTGTAAGTAATGAAACATTGTTGACCCTGCTGAAAACTTGATTTCCAATATCTCGCGACAAAATCTATAGGTGACTTAATGCCTCTAGTTTTCCTCATGATTACAACAGTATGTATTAATGGACATACCCGAGTCGTTAACCTCTTTATGTGAAGAATTCAAGTACCCAAAACACTTGATTTCCTTAAATATATATGTACTACCTAGTATAACAGTCTTAAAAGTGGCCTGGTACATGATTGGAAGTTGATCAGAAAGTTTGAATCGTTCATTGTCTACTCAACTTCTGTCCGAGTAAAAAGCTCGTCCTCCGTTTCGTGGGACAAAGTACGACTTAATTTATTTTCTTTGCAAATCCTCATTTTATGTACTTGCGAAATTAAATTATGGCCTGGAATAAGGTAAACTGTTACATTTTGGTGGCTATATTATTAAGTAGCGTGAGCTACTTATTGTGATCGTTTTGTCCATCCGTCTGTCTGTCCCTCCGTAAGCAGGATATCTCCAGAACGAGTCAAACCCCATTTTCGCCGTTGTGCTTCTAATTTTTAGTTCTCGGTCGAGTTCGGAAATTTGGTCAATCGAACCACACCCAACGGCGCCAGGGTGTGGTCCAAATTAAATTAAGCTTTAATTTTCATTTGGGGTGTCATTTTAAAGGAAATTTCCCCAAGAATTCAATGGCGTCAAAATTTTTGACCTCGTGACCTTAAGGACTAGGTCAAAGGTCACAGGATGTATAATTGGGGTTGGTGGTAAATCGTCGTCGGACATTTTGTAGAGGACAAGTCGAAGGAAGAGCAACTCGTTGTTGGACAAGTAAATGTGGAGGACAAGTCGAAGAAGAACATTTGGTCGAAAATATGGAATTATCTTTTACAGTGTCGGACAGATGTCTACGTCCACATAGTCGCGTCAATTTCATTTTCAAATTGTCACTGAACTACTGAACCAATTTTCATCATTGATATATCAAATTCTCACAAATTTAACGTAATTTCATAGCACATTATTAGTTTTCCGCTAAAAAATTTATTTTAGGCCAGAGATGTATTTTAATTCAAAATGAAAACAATTGGATGGACAAAAGTCAACGTCCAGTAAGAGAAAACATACAAAAAAAACTGTAATTTATAAGGAATGTTATAACAATTAATTTGTAATATTTGGTTGGGCCTCCGTTCGCTTTAAGGACGGCTTCAAGGCGTCGAGTCATAGAGTTTACCAAATTCTTGGTCACATCTTCAGAAATGGTTTCCCAAACTTCACGAATTCTGGATTTAAGGCCCGGAATTCCTGAAAAAGATTGTTTTCTTATTTCTCTTTCAATGTGGTCCCACAGATGCTCAATGGGATTCAAGTCTGGAGATTGGGGAGGCCATTCTAGCTTCGAAATTTTTTTTTCTTGAAGTATTCCATGGTGTACGTGGCAGAGTGTTTCGGATCGTTGTCTTGTTGGAAGACAAATCGTCGTCCAAGTCCAAGTTTTCGAACAGATTCCTGGATATTACGGTCAAGTATTCCCTGGTACCTGTATTGGTCCATAATTCCGTCAACAAATTCCATTTTTCCTGCCCCACTTGAAGCCATGCATCCCCACACCATTACCGACCCGCCGCCGTGCTTAACTGTGGGGTTGAGATTTTTTGGATTCAAAGCTTCTTTTGGATACCTCCACACTCTACGACGCCCATCTGACCCACAGACATTGAACTTTGACTCGTCAGTCCATAAAATATGTCCCAGAATGTTTGTGGCTTGGAAATGTGGTCTCTGGCAAACTTCACTCGTTTGGTTGCATTCCTCGGTACAATAAGAGGCTTCCGGACTGCTCTGTGGGATTTCAAATTTCCCTTGTTCAGTGTTCTTTGGATGGTCCTAGGACTAACTTGTTTGTCGAACATCTCCTTGATCTCGGTAGATAGCTTTGGAGCACTAAGTGAGGGTGTAACGTTGACTTTGTTGAGCACGTGGCGTACTTCTCGGTGAGCCAAAATCGGTTTTCGACCACTTCTGACCTTGTTTTAGACTGAACCATTAGCTTTAAAGTTCTTAATGATTGTCTGGATGGTTGTCCTTGCTAATTTATACTTGGTCCATATTTGTCTCTGCGACAGCCCCCTTTTTGTCCACCCTTCCAGTCCTGAATGACAAGATCTCGAATAGCGATAGGAATTTCCTTGCGTGTCGACGCCATCATATTTTTCTGGAAGAAAATTATTTAAAAATTAATGCGGCATATGTTATTGATAGATTTATTAAGTTACCTGATTTTATAAATTGGAGAGATTTTTGTTGTTGACAATTAAAGTGAAGTGGACGTAGACTTTTGTCCGCTCAAATTTCATCCTCTCTCGCTCTGCACTATGATTCTCAGTTTTCCCAGAATTTTCAGAAATAACTCATATGTTTTATGAAATTACGTTAAATTTGTGAGAATTTGATATATCAATGATGAAAATTGGTTCAGTAGTTCAGTGACAATTTGAAAATGAAATTGACGCGACTATGTGGACGTAGACATCTGTCCGACACTGTAGCTTTAAAATTTACAATCAAATTGAATTATTATGTACAAGATTCTGCAAAATTAGGATTCTTCTTCGTAAGTTCTTCTTTGACTTATCAACAGCGTCGTTGTTTCTTTTATCGCCATGCGTAACTATACCTAAATACTTCTCACTTTAAATGTAACACGTTTAACCAAGTCATTCAATTCGAGCGTCTGATAATTTTCAGCCAGATTTAATAGCCGCCGATTTAGTTGAGTTTGTACCGTTGAGCTGGGGGGTTGCCAGAAATTTTGGCACTCTACCGAGGTCTTACCATGAGTGTTGCTCACTTGAAAATACTTACATAAGTAATCTGTAAAGAAGAATATGAGAACTTTCACACAAAACTCCGAAACGTCTGTTTCAATTTTTCCGATCATAAAATCGGATTCGGCGAAAATGTCCGACTACGACACTTTTCGCTCCCATGAGTTACCCTACTACGATTTGCCCAACTACCACCCTACCCGCCTTCGAGTTATCCAACGACGATTTACCCCTAACCCGTATAATTGTCATATGGGGTGTCATTTTGAAGGAAATTTGACTGGGATTTCGAGGACATTAATATTTTTGACCTCACGATCTTGAGCACGAGGTCAAGAGTCAAAAATACAGAATTGTCAAAGATGGTCTCATTTTAAAGGACATTTCGATCATTCTGACGCTACCTTTTTATATTCGTTTGTAAAGGTTTATTGAATAATACGAGTGTTTGTTGCTTTGTTTCAATCTAATAACTTCAGCACTACAGTAAATAAAGAGAACAATATGTAGCGAGACTTCGCCGGAGTAACTTATCCAGATTGGAGCTCAGCCCCCCTTCTTATCCATCCATCATCTCACGTGCACGGTACTTGATGCATAAGCATAGTACAAGTTATTGTGCATATTGAGCATGATATTTTCATAGTGTGAATCAACTATTTTAAAACATATGTATATGTATCCAATAGTCCGGTAGTAACGTATTTATTATCAATCGGTGCCTCTTCCGCCATATACATACAAATAATTTGTTAATGAAAGGCAGTAACTGCAATCACGAAGTAACAAATTTATTACAGGCTTGTCACAAATTACTACTTAAGGCATCATGTCGATACAGGCACGGTGTACGGTCATAGTGACCATGGTAGACCTTGGTTTCCATATTTTCAGGAAAAATGTTTTTTAAAAGTTTTTCAGATTTCTCATCTTGTCAGGGATGACGTTTAGCTCACTAATTGTTGAAAGCCAGACGGGAAGATTGAATCTAGCAAAAACGGCATTACTCGACAATCCTGATACAAAGGCTGATATTTCTTTGCAGCCAAAATTGGATCATTCACGCACAGTAAGTAATCTGGGAAATATACACATCGAATCATTAGCAAATTTGAAACCAATTAAAGCTCTCACCGTACGCAACGTCTTTGGGTCTGAAAAAAATTTAAATTATTTAAGAACTTGAACATTTTCCAGAGTTGTTTAAGACTGCAAAACATTTTTAGAAAAATATGTTGAGATACAAACATCCTAACTGGTCATGAACCCCCATTAATTAGACGTTAGTATAATTGGAGCGAATATTCAAATAAATTTCCATATTTGTCAGGAAAGAGGGACATCTCGTAGCTTTGAACAAATGCGAGAATCTCAGCGAAAATCTCGTCAGATATATCCCTTCATTATTTATGGCGGATGGTAAGCTAAAAACACGCACATTTTTTATATTGTTGAATGGAATTTAGTATTTTTCAGCTCACCTTACCCATACTCTAGTAACAATGAAGAGTATTTTGGTAACATTTATTCTGAGAGAACACGTCCACTTAAGAGAAGAACTCTGCAAAGCTACAAACGTCAGATTGTTAATGAGGTGAGTTCATACGTTCATGATGACGTATGAATAAAATATTAAATAATTGTTTTTACACATTTAGTGTAAGGATGCACACTACACTCAGGAGCAATGCTTGGATTATGTATGTATCAATAATATATCAATTTTAAATTTGTGCTGGATAGCGATTCATTTGCAATGACATGCATTTAAAATAACTAATTCTTTAGTGCTACCAAAGACACTATCCCAAAGGTGCCTGCAGTCATATCCGTAACCATGGCATTGTAATCTAATCAGCTCTATATTGAATACTTGGCTAACATATGTAATTTGGAAATGGGATTTTCTAAAAGGCCAGAATACTTATGCTTATGAGGCTTAAGCTTACTGGACTACATTTATAATTGAATGCACACAAATATATCTCTGATGCAATAAATACTAATTTTCAAAATTTTACATATAATAATTATTACTAAAGAAAGGTAATAAATAATGTTAACACGCGAATTTGATGTACTGAACTGAAACTTAGGATTTTGATACAAATAACCCCAATAAGTCTTCTTACATTCCCGTCGATGCAGAATTGAATTATTTATTTAATGAGAAGAGAATTACTTCACACCTTCACACTCAACTCGTAACTAACTAAAATTCTGGACAATTCAGGCTTACTAAACTAAAAGTGGGCTAATTAAAAGGCAAGCAATTCTACTTTATCATTATCATCCGCACATTACGTGGGTCGTCTTTGCACAATTATCGCGCAAAAATTGGTAGGTCAATCTAATGAGAAGAACATTGTACCATCTCACCTAATTTCGTTGTGTGGAATCCAAGTTCCATGATTAAATTAAGTGTTCAAATTAAATGTCGATTATGAAAAAACATAGCATATTATATGATGTTATCATCATTCAGGCTTAACTCTACATAAGTAATGAATTAAACGTTGGGTCAGTAAGATAGCTAACAAGGGAACATACCGAGGTGTCCAACGAGTTAAGGGTCGACACCTATACCAAAATGACCGCAACATATGACTTATTAAACAAACTGAAGAAATTTCCGTGTAAGATTCACTTTTCGTCAAGTTGTGACGATATTTGTGACGAGCGCATGACCATCGGGCTGCCAGAGGTCTGCCGCTAAACGATCAGGTCGAGCACAGAGAAGCGTCGTCTTCAGAGATTTCAAATTCTTTCAAATTTTGAAAACATCTTGAAATTTTGAAAAAATTTCAAAATTTCAAAATTTTCTCAAATTTTTTTCAAAATTTCAAGATATTTTCAAAATTTGAAAGAATTTCATTTCAAAGAAATCACGCTTCTCTGTGTTCGACCTGATCGTTTAGCGGCCGACCTCTCCCGCTGGCAACCCGATGGTCATGCGCTCGTCACAAATATCGTCACAACTTGACGAAAAGTGAATTTTACACGGAAATTCCTTCAGTTTGTTTAATAAGTCATGCAGTGTGGTTTTCAAAATCTACGGTCCGACTCAACTCTGGATACGTTACCTGGCGGACCTAATAAATTACGTTTGATGCGTAGAGTTGTTCACCAACAGTTGGGGGTGTCAGTTCACCGGTAATACATACATACTAATCTTCATATTACTTTTGATCGTCGATGCATGCAGCATGCAGCCCAATAAACTGTGCACGTTTTACATATGACCCCAAACCGGTCACTAAATGAAAGGAAACATTTCTACACAAGTAGTTTAGCTCGCATTTGACGGTTCACATAAACCGGTACATGGTGTGTGCAGAGTTGTCGCGAAACAAAAACGCTGTTACACGTGTCCAATAGAATCAAAAATTAGTGTATACGTGTAACAGCGTTTTTTCTCAATGTGCCCCAAAGTTTTCATATTGCCCCAAATACTGGAAAAACATATTTCAACGTTACTAATGGGTTAACGTAGGATTAGGTGACTCATCGTCACAGGTCTAAAAATCTTAACATTTTTACGCATTTCTCCGTTCTGGGAATGTATTTTTAAATTCTATCAGATCCATTTGTAGACTAGATCAGTACCAATTTATTAAAAATATGCACTCTAGATTTTGACAAGTTTTGAAGGAGGAGACCCAATTTCTCTGAAGGTGTTCACTCTTTTTGGGTCTCCTCCTTCAAAACTTGTCAAAATCTAGAGTACATATTTTTAATAAATTGGTACTGATCTAGTCTACAAGTGAATCTGATAGAATTTGAAAATAAATTCCCAGAACGGAGAAATGCGTAAATATGCTCAGATTTTTAGACCTGTGACGATGAGTCACCTAATCCTACGTTAATTCTCTCCAAACTTGGCATGCTATCCTCATTTCGTATTCGTCACATCGCCCCAGAGAATTGGCTGCCTAGGTTGAAATTTGTAATGCCTTCTACCTGAAAATTTTGACAATTTTTTTCGTTTTTTTGAAATATTTTCAAAATTTATGAAATGGTATCTTTCTAGCTTCATATCTCTACAGAAACACTATATTCTGCTTCGAATGCCGTTTCATTGAACCTCATAGGTCAAATATTAAGGGTACTTTGTAGGAAGATCGATTTTGGCAGAGGTTCCCGCTAAGTACTAATAATTCTAATTTTATCCAGTAGTGTCGATGCGGTTTACCCCAACTTTTGATATGTTTTACATATTTAGTAGTACAACAATTGTTAATCGCACTAACCAATCGAAATCGACCTGTTTGACCTTGCTCTAAGGGTCGGGGGTAAAAGTTCGGAGGTCAAGTCTCACATAACCCCTTAAGTGTGACATCGTTGAAAAGGTCTCGGTTAGAGGATTCAGAATATATATAGTTTGTGGGGTCTATGACCATTTCTTGGATGTCTAGAGGCGGTTCAATGAGAATTTCTGATTTTCCAGAATTTAACACAGCACTAGATAGGAAGCTAACACGGCAAACAGATGGGCACAAACTCAAAAATAATCTTCCACTGCTGGAACACTAAGGAGTGACCATAGACCCCACAAAGTATATATATTTTGAATCCTCTAACCGAGACCTTTTCAACGATGTCACACTTAAGGGGTTATGTGAGACTTGACCTCCGAACTTTTACCCCCGACCCTTAGAGCAAGGTCATACAGGTCGATTTCGACGGTTAGTGCGATTGACAATTGTTGCACTACTAAATATGTAAAACATATCAAAAGTTGGGGTAAACCGCATCGACACTACTGGATAAAATTAGAATTATTGGTACTTAGCGGGAACCTCTGCCAAAATCAATCTTCCTACAAAGTACCCTTAATATTTGACCTATGAGGTTCAATGAAACGGCATTCGAAGCAGAATGTAGTGTTTCTGTAGAGATATGAAGCTAGAAAGATACCATTTCATAGATTTCGAAAATATTTCAAAAAAACGAAAAAATTTGTCAAAATTTTCAGGTAGATGGCATTACAAATTTCAACCTAGGCAGCCAATTCTCTGGGGCGATGTGACGAATACGAAATGAGGATAGCATGCCAAGTTTGGAGAGACTTAACCCACTAGTAACGTTGAAATGTGGTTTTCCAGTATTTGGGGCAATATGAAAACTTTGGGGCACATTAAGAAAAAACGCTGTTACACGTGTACACTAATTTTTGATTCTATTGGACACGTGTAAGAGCGTTTTTGGTTTCGCGACAACTCTGGACACACCATGTACCGGTTTATGTGAACCTAGTCATTTGCGAACCACTTTTATAAGCCCGTCGGCCAATCTCAACCTGCCCCCGGTGTGCGGGGAGAAAATCTCGTCCAAAACAGTAGATACACATCAAGTGGCTACTCTTTACATGATTAGTTGATCCGATTTTGGTGTACGATCCACACTTGTTTAGTTGACAAGCACAAAATAGTTTCGCAAACCCGTACAAAAATTCAAATCAAGTGATTATCTGACTAATGAACAGTATTAAGTTTATTAAGCATTTTTGATATATTTCGACATACATGTTTATGCAATTTCAAATAGATACATTAGTACATGCAAATTGCAGAACATGTCTACTTGCATAAAAAATTGCCAACTTTTGACTAATTTTTAAGTAAAAGACCCGTCACGGTGTTTTGAATGCTGAAATCCTGTATGACCAGGGGAGTCGTGCGCTCCACGAAATTGTCTCCAAATTTAAATTTTAGCGGGGTCAGCGAAGCTAGAACTTTTCTCGTGTAAGGAGAATGCTTCTGGCTCCATTTCCACTTTCTGAGAAGCCGACTCGACCCTTCATACGTGTTCGAGGCTGCCGTGAAAAGGATCATGTTGATCAGAAAGCCATCCCAGTAGACGAGGGGAAACATGAGAAATTCCGGCCAGGAAATCTCATCCCGAAGCCGGATGCAGACATAAGACGAGAAAAACTGGATTGCGGGAAAACCCACGACGAAGACGGGAATTAGGCGCCAACTGTTCGTTATTGTGGCCAGGATTTCGATGATTTTCAAGTTTCGGTACGTTTTTATGAATCGTGTCGTGATTTCCGTAGATTTATCACCACTAGATCGCCTTAAACATCAAATATTTAAAATTGTCAATGAAATTCACGATAGACGGCACATGTCTAAATTCGCACTATATACTTATAACTATAACCTGCCAAGTCTTGCGAAATTTCGAACACTTTGCAATACTTTGCACAAATGTATATTCCCGAAAATCATTTTTAAAAAGTTGCCGTTCGAAACAATGGGCATATTAATTACTATGTCGCATCGTTACCAACACCAACGTTGCCAAAAAAACAAAGTTCGCAAGTTCGCAAAATTTAGCTTGAAAATTCGTTTGTGTACTTTCGCATCTCCAAGACAAGAATTTGCTTAGATTGCAAATTTGTATTTTTAAATTACTCTCCGACGCGAACATCGACTTGTAATGAATAATAACCCTCAATATGTTAGCTAAGTACCCACAATTTGAAATATCTCACCATTTACCAATGATGCGTAAATAGTCCCACATGCAAAACACGGCTGGCAATGCGACGAAGCAGATATTGTGGGCGGAAGCGACCACGGCCGGAAATAAGATGGCGAATTCCATTACCAGAAAGACAATCCGTATCCAAATGCCAGGCTCAATCCCGACCCGACAAGTGTGCAGCATTGACCCAAAGAAAGGCGGCATACACGGAAATTTTGCCAAAATCAAGACAAACGCGACAGGGACGGAGATTCCGGTAAAGATTGTGGGCGGAATGAGATAGCTTAATATCTTGTTCACGAAGGTTCTCTTGTATTTTAGCCCTAAAATTTAAATTTACGAAAAATCTCTGAAAATTTTTTACACAAATAAACAAATATGGAAGCTTTTGAAGTCTGTCCCATTAAATCCGTAACCTCGTACATTTGCGAACTTTTGACACAACTTACGAACAGTTTGAAGGAAATTTTTGCTTACGAACTTAAAAAAGCTCATGAAGATAAAAGATATCGTTAGGTTCGTAAGCTTATTTTTGTAAACTTACGTTGCTACAGATTTACGAAGATTGACATGAAATGC